ATCATTATGTACATACGTCCTATAGAACATTCATTTTTTTCTTTTTCTTTTTTCCCTATTCCTTCCCTTTGCAGGCCCAAAATACCCGCACTTTGTTCCGTCTTTGAATAATCCCCACGCAGCAACCCTGGGTCGTTAATTTTTTTTTTTTTATTTCATGTAATTTTTTTTTTTTTGCATTTCTCCCGTTTTCATCCTTTTTTCGCCCCATCTCTCCCTTTTTCACCGATGTTTCTTTTTTCTTTTACATTTTTGGAGAATCTATTTTAAATATGATTGTAGAGGTTGTATGATATATATGTATATGTAGCGTTTAATGAAGCCCCTGGCCCTCCCCCTTGCACACGCATATTAAGCGTGGTTCTATTGGTGGTTACAGCACACCGCCACCCCGCCCCTTATGTGGAAGATGTGTTAATGGGAATATGATGTGCACACTGTATGCACGTACGTATGTGTATGAGGACCTACGCGCGTGCAGAAACACGTGCAAATCTGGATGTGTAGAACGAATTGGAGAAAATTGCATATGCTAGTTGTTTTTTTCCATCGAGCATATATATGAGATTTCTGTTCTCAATTTAATTTGTCCTACTAAATACAAACATATATTAGTTTCCATGTTCCTTTTAAAAAGTTTTTTTTTCTTTCTTTCTTTTTATATGCACATTTTTACGCGTGTTTTACATGTGGTTTTGTACGATATAATTTATGCTTCATTAATTTTAGGCAATTTTGCGTCTTTTTACTTTCCTTTTTTTTTAACTTTGGAACGGTGTAATTTAAGAAAATATAGTTGAAGATAGCACCAACGCGTTTGTGGGAATCACGTTGGCCCCGTACCCGCCCGAGCAGACGCGTTTGCTTTTAAGATTTTACAAATGAGCAAGTGGCAGGTGCGCGGTTCAAATTGGGCGACTGCGCGATTGGAATTTTTCACTACTGCGCAAAGCTGAGACCGCCTTGTGGAAACTTTTAGGAAAAAAAAGAAAGGGGACGCAGAAGAAGCTCCCTTCTTACTTCGCGTGAATACGACTTCCCTCTTCTGTTGGTCGTCTCAATCCGTTTTTTTGTAGGGAGGAAAAAAAGCGTGACAGCATGCCACGATCACGTAACTGTGACTTAGCTGCCATATGGCTGTCACTTTCTGGCAGTCGCAATTATCAGGCATTTCTCTGAATAATTTCACAACGGAGGAAACATTCCTGGGGAGGTATGCGCGTGTATTCGTGCGTGCTATCTTATTACAGGCGCCTAGCGAATCAACCTTATGTGCATTTGGAATGCCATCGGGTGACGCGCGTGTGCCATTTTTCACTTTCACGAGGGAAAGGAAAAAATAATAAAAGTGAGGTCGCAAAAAATGCCTACCTCTTCATGCATTTTTCCATGGTATTTTTATTTCTTCCTTTACTGCTACTTTTTTTTTTCCCCCATTTTATATTTTGCTTTATGCGTATAAAAAATTTCCCCCATGCGTGATTGATTTTTTTTTTTTTTTTTCTTCAATTGGTGTTTAAAATAAAAATATCCCCAGCATTTCTTTCTGCGTGATGTGAAAAATAACGAATAGTCAGAATACTGAATAGTATCTTGATGGAGTGAATTCCTCCTTATGACGAAAAAATGCAATCATTTTTTTTTTCCCCATTAATGAGAAGAGAAGGGATGCTATAAGAGGCATTTTCTCCGTCGAAGTGAGTGAACAATCCATCCGTTTGGTGATAGCAAATCGGGGGAAGCACCAGCTCGGGCAAAACAACCAACGCGCTACAGGTTTACCAGCTTGCGCAACGGTTTACGACGTGGCTTACAAAAGGGGACGTGCCCCATATTCAGACACATAATCACACAATGGTGTGTCGATGAAAATTCAATTTTGTGTCAAAAAAGAAAAGAAAAATGAGGACATCTCTAGGAGTCGTGGCAGCTATTTAAATTAACTGCCATACGTTCAATAATAGCTCACCAATTTGGTGGGCTAGCCGCACAGTGAGAGAAGCCTCCTGTGCAGCTCCACTAACCTCGCATTTGGCTCCAACAGGTAGAAAGTAAAGATGAAGCCGAATAACCAATACCCATCCCAGAACAACGGCAGCTACCGAAACAGCACAGTAAACAATGACACAGGTGTAAGCAATGAAAATCCCCCCAGCTACCCGATAACCAGTAACAATGGGAGCATGTTCTCCAGGGGTATGCAAGACAGGAGTCACAATCCATCGAATGGGGCACCGATGAGTCAGAGCAACAGAGGAGGAACTACAAATAATGTCATGAACAATTTTTCCAAATCTTCTACCATTAATTATCCACCAAATAATCACACGTTCTACAACCAACACAATATGCCCTATAGTAATAATGGCTTCAGCAAGAGTACGTATGGAAGTAAGAACAGCCAGCCAATGATGAATAATGTCAAGATGATAAATTCGATGTGGAAGGCAGGTGACAGTTTAGTCCACGACAGGAATGACGTCCTAAACAAACCGTTCAGTGCCACCAATTATAGCAACTTTCCCAGTAACGTCAAAGGACGGGCGGATGAAAATGTGGGGAACTTTTCCCAAATAACTTATCGCACTGTTATACAAAATAATAATGAGGCAGTTGTAAAAAATGGACTCATGGCACCTGACTTGAGCAGTAATGCTAATGTGGGCACCACCAACAGCATCAACAATGTTAACAACTTAAGTAGAATAAACACGGTGGATTTTAATTCTCATGTTAATGCGTCTGGCCGGTTGAATAGCGTAATAGGGAGGAACACTGGCATGGTTAACGGTGCTGCTTTTAGCATTGGTAAGCCATTTACAAATTTGAGTACTATGCACGCCAGTATGAACTCGTACCATGTGAAGAATGTTATACCTGGTGAGGTGGGCAGTGGAGTGCCCGATGTTATGCTTATCAACGGGAATAAACTAAACGACAGCGCCCCGGGAAACGTAAATAAAGGCTTACACCATGTGAGAAGTAACCTGAATAGGAACTTGGCCCCGTTGGGCGGTGCCCACGGTTATCCTGTGATGGGGAGTAGCAACGGTGGTAGGAACAATATTCACTCTGTGAGCGGCATGGGCGGGATGACCGCCATGGCAAATCTCAACGGAGCCAATTACAACATGAGCAATTTAAAAAGTTCCATGGGGAATCTAAACAGAGGTAGCGCAAACGACGCAGGTGGTGAAAGGAATTTGAGCTCAAATTTGAGCTCAACTTTAAGCCCCAATTTGAGCCGTTACCCAGGCGCGATGAGAAACCTTGGTGTCAGCAGCGGCCACAATACGGATGACGTGGAAATTATGCAAGTCAGTGGGAACAGCCCCAGCAGCGCAATAACCATTGAGTCGTCGAAAACGAAGAGCTACCAAAAGAGTAGTAGCAAAGTTAACCCAAACGAGCTAAATGAAACAAAAGGTAAAAGTAACAACAGTGTCGTTAGTAACACACCGGTCCTGCATAACCACCTTAGGAGTGACATGCGTCCCAGTCCAGCGTCGAAGAACCAGCATGGGTTCCTCGTAGAAAATGGAAAAAATAATCTAAGTCAAGACCCCTACAGTGCACACAACGCCGGTAGCAATTTCGACGGTAACGCAAATGCAGGAGGAAAGGTTCAGGGAATACACAACGTGAACTGTAGCATGAACGGCGGCATGAACAGCGGCATGAACAGCGGCATGAATAGCGGGCTGAAGAGTGACCCCCCCGGCTACGTCCACAGCAGAAAGGCACAGATGAACCCAAATGCCTGCGCCAATGAGCAGAATGCGAATCTGCTAAGCGCTAGTAGTTTCTTGCAGAGCGCAGGAAGTATACCAGGAGTGGAAGACAAGAATGTTTCCATCCGCCAGTATGACGCCTATAACGTCCAAGGAGATAAAGCAGAAAATGGAAAAACTAACAACGTCATAGGTGACCCGAAAGAGGACACCAATCCCTTGATGAATAATAACTCTGTTTCATTGGAGAAAACGAAAAAGAGAAAGAGAAAGGAGGAAAGCAAAGAGCAGGGGATGGAACAGGACACCCCCCCCAAGGGTACCAAAAGAAAAAGCAAAAATGCGCAAAATAACTCTGAACAGAATATGATAACGAACAGCGATGCGAATCCTTTACAGGACGTGCCGAGTAGCCATTTGGATAATCACATAGCTGATTGGGGAAACGGTGCACAAATGATTAACGATCCATTGAATAACAAGATTTCGAAGAGAAAGCTAAAAGTGAATAATGCGGAAAATGCAAAAAATGACGAAAAAAAGAGAAAAAAAAAAAGGATGGAATCAACCGATCCGGGAAGTAGTTACCAATCAGGGCAGGAAAACAGCGAGGTGGGTCAAACAAGTGAATATCTTACTGAGGATCGAAACGGGTTCTACATCAGTTCGAGTGTGGCACATGAAAATATGAACAATGGTGTGATGAGCACGTATGCAAGTGCTAACTATTTGAATAACCCCATTAACAGGTCTCCTCAGACTGACTATTACAACAGTTTTAATCCAGACACACCAGCGGAGGTTCGTGACGTAAGTAGCAACTGGGGTGAAAGGGAAAATATAAAAATGAGGAACGGCAACCACGTAGACGGTACAGTTAACCCTAACATTGTAAAAGGGGTTAGGTATAACCCCAACGTGTCAGATGGTAACACAAGGATGAACGATTTCGTGAATGGGCAGTTTAGAGAAAATAATATTGGGCAGATCTTACGCGATGCGAACTTGAGTAATGGTGCCCAGGGAACTACACACTGTTACATTGGAGGCGAGGCAAACAAACAGATTAATCACAATTTAACCCACATGGTAGCGCAACAGGGAAACAACGAAATGTATAAGGAGCAGTCTCTACAGAGGGAGCAATATCTGCAGAGGGAGCAATTATTAGGGAAGGATCAAATGAATGTTGACCCCAAATTCGTTTGGCTGTTTCTAAATAAAGAATTCAGTGAAAATAAAAATAAGTATGCTGCCTTTTTGCCCCTCTTTAATAGTTACTACCCCAGTAAGCTGAACGAGTTGATTTTCCAGTTAGAGGATTATTCCTTGCTAAGCTATGCACACATTATGAGTGGTGCGCTCGCGCTGCAGAGGAAGCACTTGAGAGGCTTTAGCCCCGGCGTGGTGGGAACTGGGGACTATGCCGCGAGCATCACGAGCGTCGCTAATGCTGCTAATACTGCTAATGCTGCTAAAACTGCTAATACTGCTCCTGCTTCTAATACCGCTAATGCAGCCAATGTGACCAATGTGGCGAATGCCCCCAATGCGACAGCTTGCGCTAGCAGTGGGTACAGCGACGGCCACATCGACAATAAGCTACTCAACAATATAAATAGCAATTTTAATGAGCTCATAAAAAACTTTAGCTTTGAAAGTGGGCCCGCTCCGAACGCCGCTCTTGGGGAAGTCGAGAAAACGGGGAAGGGAAGGCGGAGAAAGAATGACAACAGTGCTAGGAAGGCGAAGAAGGAGGGAGCCGTCAAGGAAAGAGGCACGAAGGAGAAACCCGCGAAGAAGGACCCTACCACGGAGAATGACAACGGCGCGCAAATCGACAGCAGCGGAAGCATAGAAAGCGAGGCCAACGCGGAGGACCGCATCAACCTAGAAAGCATTGCCAATGTGGAGAGCAGCGTGAAATGTGAAATTACCCTCAACCCCGACGACACCAGCAACTGCGATAAGGACAACGGTAAGGTGGCCAATACGGCGATCAGCGGAAAGACGAAGAAGCCGAGAAAACCAAGAACAAGCAAAAAAAACCCCCTCGCCAATGCTAGCACACCCCAACTGTTGATAAGCGAACAAGCACAAATGGTACCTGCAGACAGTGCGCAAGCGGGGCAAGCAACACATAGCTACTTTCTCAATGCAAATGGATCGATCGTTAGTGAAAACGCCAGTGATGTGATGAATCTCATTCTGAAGGGTAACATTGGGAACACAGAAACGAGCCTCATAAACAGTGAAAATGAATACAGCTCTGTTTATAAAGGAAACGAGAATTCAATTGAGAGAGGAATGGCCAGCTTATGTGACACAATGAGTTGGCAAGGGAACTCTCAAAGGAATGAAAATGATCTGTACCAACTTGGTAGCAAGTTAAATGATATGAACAGTTCAGGTAAAAATGGAAAAGTGAAAAAGTATAGGAAAAAAAAAGATAATAACAATTTGGCGTTAGAAGATAAAAGAGACATACCAACATCAGCATTGGACAGCATCTACATGGAAAAGGAGAAGAAAAAGAAAAAAAAAAAGAATGACCCTCTGAGTATCAATGAGGATACGATAAGTGCCCAAAATGGGGATAGCATTTTTTCTCAGAACGGCGACATGAACATGGTGAGCGACCTTTCTGTTGAGGTGAAAGGAAACGAGAACTCAATTGAAGAGAAGTATCCAAATGGTGTGGAAGCTGAGTGCGCAGGGGATAATGAAGACGTTTCGGCCACGTATCTGCTAAATTGCATGGTCGAAGATTACAATAAGGAGATGAGCAAAAGGAAGAGAAAGGCCTACAGTAAGCAGCCCAGTGAGTCAAAGAAAAAGGCTACAACGAAGGAAGGAGTGAAGAAAGAGGAGTCAGATCGTAGGGGTAGAAACAGGACGAAGAAAATGCAATTGGAGGAGGGGAAAGAAGCGGAAGCAGAAGAGGAAGAAAAAGAGCAGATTGAGAGGTACCAAAATGGGCAAATGCACGCCGTAGAATGTGAACGTGGTGCCCATGCGGACAACCGGTATAGCATCGAGAAATCCAATCTTCTCACGCGAAGAAACAAACAATTGAAGAAACTTTTCCTCCAACAAGGCAATATGCTTTACCCTAGCATGAAGGGCTCCCATATTGTCAACAATAACTTAAGTGAAAATATCAGATTAAATGCAATCAATGCTATTAAGAAGAAATACAAACGGTTCAGCTTTTGCGTAAATAAGGTGTTCAGAAAGAAGAACATGAATGATATAATAGCCTTAAACGAAAATTTAAATAATAACAGAGAACTTTTGTTCTTGTTCAAAAAGAGGGATGTAAGTAACCTAAAAAGATTGAACTTCTCCTTCTTCATGAATAAATTAGACATACAAAAAATAGACATGATTATAATGAAGAGGATATACATATGCGTACAGAATATGAAGAACACTTTAGGATTTATGTGCGTTATAAATAACGTAGAAAAAATTGTAGATATGTTGAAGAAAGCCTTTAGGGATCGGCTGCAGTTGATGTGGCCGCTGATCCAATTTTCCAGCAAGTATAGGCTGGACCAATACTTCCATCTGTTGACAAAGAACAGGAACAATTCGCAGTCTAGGTTTAAGGACACTCGGCTGTTCGTGCATCAGGTGGGTTTTTCTTTTCCCACTTGGCATTTTACATCGATCTGTGAATGTGTCTGTATATTGCATTCGGGTGCACCCCTTTTTTTGTGCCAAACGCATGATTTTTTCCCTCTTCCCCTTCATGTAGAACATAGCCCCCTTGATTGCCTACTTCAAGCAGAGGACCATTGACGACAAAATTGTAAGTGCGTAAAAGGGGTCCGTAAAAGGGTCCATAAATGTGTGCCTCAGTTTGTCTTCCTGTGTAGAGATGGCCTACCATGTCATTTATTTTTATTTTTATTTTTTTTTTTTTTTTTTTTTTTTTTTTTTTTTTTTTTTTTTTTTTTTTTTTTTTTTTTTTTTTTTTTTTTTTTTTTTTTTTTTCTGCGCAGGTGGAACACTTGAAGAGCCAAATGAAGCCCAAAAAGAGGAGGAGGAAAAACAAAAACAAGGATCCCTTCTCGGAGGACAAATCTTTAGATGTAATTTTTGCGATCAACAACACGTCACTTTCCTTTCGCCTTTCGTATCTTTGAGGCCGGGCGCAAAAGGGGGATGCATCCCCCCATCTGATATAGCTGCATGTGTGTAGCGAGTGGTCATTTAATTTCCCCACCAATGTCACGTACGAAACTTCACGCTCTCCCTTCCTCCATTTTAGTTACTCAAAACTATAAACACCATCACGTCGAAGAATTCCACGACGGAGAGCCTGCTCGACTTTGAGACGGCGCGGACCAAGGCCAGCGAGTTTGCCTTTGTAAGTTGTTGAGCGCCCCAGGCGGCGATTGGTGAAAGTGGCGGCAAATCGGAAAGAGTGGCAAGGGATTGGTGAGAATGGCGACGAATTAGGGAGAGTCGAAACGGATTGGCGAGAGTGGCGGACAATTGCGTCAAATTTGTGCCCCTCCTTCTGCCATGCACCATGGGGAGTGGACCCTCGTTTGGAAGGCGCCCGAGGGGACTTGCCCGCACAGTGTGCACATGCACGTATGAACGAACGTGCATACATGGTGATGCTTCCCGGTTGATGCCACTTTTTCGCATACCCCCATCTCGTGCCCACTTCTTAGGTCGGCTATAACCAGAAGAGGCTCCTGACGCAAATCACCCCCTACGATTACAAAAACATTCTAAATTCTGAGTTCTGTAACAAACTGTTTACCATAAAATGGAGGTAAGGGAGTGAGGCATGTGTGTGTGTCTTCCGTGAGGGCAACCCCCCCGTGTCGCTCTTCCAAAGGAAGTTGTTTATTCGCTGTGTTTGTTCCATGCCCCCTCTTAGAAGTGGACTCCACGTAGTAGCCATTATTAGCAAGCGCACACATGAAGGGGGTCTCCACTTGTATGCACAGCATATGAGTTGCCGCTTATGTGGAAATGCCCACACGCCCACATGTTCTGTTCTTTCCTTGGTTTTTTTTTTTTTCCATCAGGGAACAACAAGCACTGTTTATCAACCACCTGCATTTCGACATGGTCCCTGATAATGAAGAGACAAGAAGTCATTTCGAAAAAGTATACATGAGGTATATGGGCTACAATGAAAAGAAATTAGCCGTCAAGTTGGAAAATAAAGCAAAGACAGGAAAAGCCAAATCTAAAAATGACATTGTAGAGGGGGATAAGACTGAGGGCAAACCGAAGACCTCAAGGAAAAGAAAGACCAACAAAAATAATGAAGGTGCTGAGACAGAACCCAAAATTGCTAAACCGAGGAGGAAATATGAACGGGTGAAACCTAGGAAGAGTAAAAACCAGAGTGGGAATGCGGTGACTGATCAGGTGGTGCAGAGTGTTGAAGCGGGGCAAAGTGTTGACGCAGCGCAGAATGTGGGAGCCCCTCATAATGCCACGAGTGGCGTCAATCCCCCGAATGACCCCGCGGCCATGGAAAGCACATCCAAGAAAAAGATACGTAAACCGCGAGAACAAAAAACGAAAATTAAAATAAAAAATGCACAAAATAATGACCTGACCATTTTTAAGGGCAATCCAAATGCAATCATTCAGGCAACCTTAGACTTCATGAATCCCAACATGTTTACCTAAAATGGTTGCACTGTTCAGGAAGAGTAGGTCAAATTGATTCTGACGCATGAGCGATAATTTTTTCGTTTTTTCTTTTTTTTTTGTGAGGAGAACTGTAATATGATGTATTTCACCGTCAGCACACGTGCGGTTAGGACATGCTAAGTGGACATTCATTTTGATTAACCTATTGAGTTACTTTTTACAACTGTTTGGGTGCATTTCACGGAGGTGGTGCAAGGGGAACATCTGCACGTAAATGTGCACAACGTTCAGTGGAATACCTTTTACCACTTTTGTTTCTGGCGGGGGGGGGCCCTTTTAACGCGTGCCTTTTAAGAAGGCCAGTGTGAGTTGGCATAACCCTTTTGGGGAATTAAAAGCGGGAGCATAGCCATGTTCATTTATCTCGACATAGGTACCAATGCGTCGACCGTTTGAACTTCCCCAATTTGGTTATGTGGTTTTTTTTTTTTTTTTTTGCCCAAACTTGGCTGTATGATTGACCTCATTAAGCGCACTTTTCAACCTCAAATTGGTAGGCGAATATGTGGTATCCCTTTTGAAGTCTTTTTTTTGGGGTTCTCCAATTTTGGCGGATAACCCCGTAAAATAACACCAAGGGGGAAGTCATTCATTTGAGGGGTTAATTAAATGCGGAACCTCCTACCTGTGAATGTTGTTCAGGCGAATGTATATACACATGTGGTATCTTCATATAAGTGCATTGCGTTGCAGACGCGAGTTTTTTTTTTTTTTTTTTTGGAAACTACTTTTGCTCGTGGCCGATTTTCCCCTTGGTATATTTCCTACTGTTGCAAAATTTTCCGTTTCTCACATTGGTTAAATTCATCTCACCGGATTCGTTTCTCTTGGGCGCGCTTGTTAAAAGGTTGTTTCTCCAAAGGGGTGCTTCACTTGTTAAGGAGCATCAAAACTTTGGATTATTGTGTCTACTTCGAATTTTGTTCTCCCGTTTTGCTGTTTTGCTGTTTATTTTTTTGAATTGCTTTCCTTTTCCGTCCAACTCGCGAAAGACACGATGATGCTGAATTATTTGTTCTATAGCTCCACCCCCAAGTATGAAAACAAAATTGAAAAGAAAAAAAAAGATGACATGAGCTCTCTGCAAAGTTGTATTGAAAATGCCTCGATTACGCTCATCCTAGTTGGGTCTATAGTGGTGGCCATAAGTCTTTTGATGGTAAGGGGGGCATAAAATTGGTGGGCCACCACCAAATGGGCTGCCTTCCCATGAACCGCTTCCAAAAGGGCCGCTGTCCAAGGGGCATTCTCCCGATATGATCGCATGCTCCATTTGGGGACCCTGCTTCCCCCCTTACCCCTTTCCGCAGATCACATTCTTGGCAGACAATTTAAGGAGTTCAAATGTGTACAAGTTATTTTGCCTTACATCTGGTTCGTTTCTGTTCCGTGTAATTTGAGAGGGGAGGGATTCAACGTGTTACCCATGTCAACACGCACACAAACTTGCCCCATTCCGCACGTTTTCACCATTGCCGCCTTAACGGATCGCAGGACTCTGGCTCGTTATTATAATAGCGCAAGTGTTAACCTTTTTATTCTCCTCAACCATTTTTCAAAGTAATTCGATTCTGCGCGGGGTGCCAGTGGGTTATGCGTGTCTTTGGAGTTGGCACTTTGGGAGGAAGTCCCCTCGTCATTATTTGGCATTCATTATTTGGTATTCATTATTTGGCATTCATTATTTGGCATTCATTATTTGGAATTCATTATTTGCTATTTATTTATTTCTTTTTTTCTTTGTAGATTCCACGCATTTGTTCTTAAATGACCAAACAGGGAGTGCAGGTGGACCAATTGGGGGATTTCATCTGCTTTCAGCTTTGACACCGCATGGTAAAAGGAACAAGTTTGTGTTTTTTTTTTTTTTTTTTATTTTTAGCGCATAAGTGGAATCCCCTCAGCACTGGTCTATTTTTAAGTAACAGACAGGGACGCCATCACAGCGTTTCCGTGCCAGCCTATGTTACTGGGCGAGTCTACGTGAGAACCCCGCGTCTGGATCTACGCGCACACATGTGCAGCATAACGCATGTATATTTATTTTCTCATTTCATCCTTGGTGTGTTCCCCTCGCGAAATGAAACTCCTCCTCGTTCCCCACCTCAAGCCAACGTCGTAACCTTCAGTTGCGTGTCCCTCCTGTCCTTTTGCGGTTAAGCTGTGCAGACAAATGAGCGTATACTCGCAAGAGAGAGAAAGAGAGACCAAGATACACGCGGCATCCCATCTCTACATTCGCATAGGGACAAAAGCATGCACATTCATAATATGAAACTGCTTCTCACTTGTGTAGGAATATTCTCTTACGTAGTCAGCACGTTTAGTGGGACTAATGGGCGCATACTGGCCACCACCATTTTCAGCTTTTCCCTGAATTTGTACGTGAGGGAGGGGAGGAACATCAGCTGGAAATCCGCTGCCCATGAGCTGGCCATCATCTGACAACGAGCTGACCATCATCTGACAATGAGATGACCATCATCTGACAATGAGCTGACCATCATTTGACAATGAGATGGCAATCCGCTTTCCATCACGTGGCAATTTTGTCCAACCCATCTCTCGTGACAGTTTTCGTGAAGCCCTCCTTTTTACGTGCACCATTTTTTTTTACAGAGTGTTCCTGGCCTTGCAGTTCCTATACATATTGCTCCGAATCCACAAAATTAAGGGCATAAAATTTAGCAAATATGTGCCTCTTTTTTTGCCCGGGTTTTCTTGCGTAATGAGGAGGAGAAAATGTGTGGGGGGCACCACGGCTACACACAGGTGGTGTTCTCTACTTATGGAAGTGTCCCTTTAATGCGCACGCGTTTGGTGATATATACTTCCGTGCTTATCCGAATGGACCCCCGGAAATAAGGACACCCCTGCGCTGTAGTTTTACCTACGCATTTGTCCACCGTTGTACCCCTCCGCCGCTCTACTCGCTCTCCCCAACTTTCCAGATGCTAGAATCCATGGCAACGAATGTGAAACATAAGATGAGACAGAGTCTGCTGGATCAAAAGTCTAAAAGGGGAATGCACAAAAAAAAACTAGAGGACCATGTGATGCACCAAGATGGTAACTTCGCTTGGGGCAATTGCGCAAAGGATGCGAAGTTTCGCTAAAAAATGCAGCGCGTTGTTTGTTCTACTTTATTCTAGTTTGTACTAGCTTGTTCTAGTCTGTACTATTTTTTTTTTTCTTCTTCACTTTGCGCAGAAAATATATTCTTGATTAACTAAAATGGGGAGGAAACACATGGCGACGCCTAGGATCCAACGTGTGTAGACCTACTCCCCCAGAAGTCTGCCTTCATGAGGAACCGTTTGGTGACAACTGAAGGGGAAAGCACGCTGAACATAGTGGTGATCGCCACCATTGTTATTACAGTTACTCTTGTGGATAAGTTGAACTTTTTTTTTTTTTAAGGACAAATCAAACATTCACAATACCACGTGGGAATCCCTCACCGTGGCAGAACTAATCATTTTGTATTGAAATGTGAGGTCATCCCCCGATCAGATCAATCCATTCAGGTGTTTATCATGATAGCCCGGAGCTCCTCCTCGAATTCTTCTATGTCGCATGTTATTTCTAGGCTTTTGAAGATGCCATTGATTTTTTGAACAAGCGATTCTTTGGATGCTGCGTAGAGCATTTTCTCCTTCGCCTTGGCAGAATCGGGGGACCAAAAAATGAAGTAAATTCTGTTCCGTAATACGCCCTCAGGGGTGTGGATAGGCATATCTGTAAGGGGGGGGAAGAGGGGCATAAAAAGAGGCACATAAACGGGTCTAACCGGGAGGGTAACGTTAGCAGATGGATGCCCCAATTAGCAATGTAGTAAGCCTAGCGCGGGGCTGTCCGCTTGGGAGGAGCTTCCATCTGGTTACTTGTGCAGACTCACCTGCGATGATGTATCTACATTCCGTCGATTTCAAATTGTTTCTGATGTCCATTATGATATCCTCGAAGGACTTCAAATCTGAATCCTGCTGCAACACATCCACTATGATTTCCTCGCAATTTTCGATTCGAAAAAGTATGTACTTGTGTAGGTGCTTCACTTTCAGCTTGTTAAATTCGTAGATGCATTCGTCTGACACCCTGACCCCTGAGACCATTTTTCCTTTCCTTAGGTTGATCACTCCTTTCTGTTGTTCCCTACTCAGGATTTTTTCCCTTCCTGGCTGTCTTCTTTTCGCGTGCAGGTGTAGGCGCAGGTGCGATATGCCTGTTCGACCGCTTTGGTGTGGCTCCCCAGGTTTAACATGCGACCGAGTGATTTGAATCTTCCTTCTAAGGAGGAAACGCAGCAATGTGTGTCACCAAGTGTGCGATGCGGTGTGGGAGTTTTATGCAGATAGGTAACATTTCTATTTTTTCACTTGTTCTTTTGCTCTATTGAAAAGGTGAAACTCATTTGAGGGATGCGAGGAAGGAATGTAGACAGTTTTTTTTCTTTTCCACATACAGGTACTACAGCACAATTTGCGGGTAACTAACTCGTTAAGTGTTTCTTTTTTTCTCCTCTTTTGAACGTTTATGTGTTACTCTTGTGCTACAATGACTCTAGCGGAGTTCTTACTGGCGAGCCATATGCATATATATATGTATTTTTTTTTTTTTTCGTTTCCCCAGTGCTGCTACACTGTGTAGGAGAAAATTTTGCTTTTACCAAAAAGACGTTATTGCACACACGCGCGAGTTAAAGGATGTCACATGTGAGGGAAAATTAAAAAAAAAAAAAAAAAAAAAAGAAGAAGTAGAAAAAGAAGAAAGAAAAAAGAAGAAAGAAAAAAGAAGAAAGAAAAAACAAAGAAAAAAAGCTAAACATGTATTTGTGGACACATACTTGGTCCATGCCTAGACAAATGCCCACTTTATGCGACATAGGAGTGCACCAACGGAGGGTATGCCAAAATGGGAAGGCTTGGAAGATAGGGAGAGTCCCCCCCCTGAGTGGCCAATTATTGGGATGCTCTTGCCACAATTGCTCAAAGGGTGAAGTCTATGCATAGCTCATTATTTAGCTGGCATCCTTCCTGCAATTTCATTTTCTCTTCGAATTTTTCGGAAAAATTGCCTAAACGAGGAAGGGGTCATCTTGCTTCTCTATTATATGGTGTGTGGATTAAAAAGGGTTCCCCTTTTTTATTTAGAAAATTTGGGCATCTTCCGGGGGAAGATAAATTCTCTCGATTAAAACTGTGCAGATTTCCCCAGACCGATCATCAATCGAGGTGCCGCATCATGTAATCAACATAAGAGGCGCCATACACACGGTGAGTCACACGAAGAATGCACTTTCCAATGAGCGTCCACATGGCTGGAACATGCACCGGTAACTTACTCGGCCAGATATGAGAGCATGTTGTGTCTATAGGAATGACACCCATTATCTGTATTCTCACCAGGGAAGGGGAACCATGTAACTTAATGCGCGCACAAAGATGAGTGGAAGTAAATGCGAAAATTAACTTATCCATCCGGGGGTGGAGACAGTGCGCCACTTTTTTTCAAATGCTCACCTTCCAGCATTCTCCTATTAGCTCGGAGCAGAAATAGCCGGCGTCATCTGCGGCGGTGGGGGTAGGGTGGAAAGAAAAAAGAAAAGAAATGTATAGACATAAGGATAGGCAAAAGCATGGGCAAAAACATACACAAAAGCATCGGCAAAAACATACGCAAAAACATACGAAAAAACATACGCAGAAACCTAGGCAAAAAAATAGGAACAAAAATAAACCCATCGAAATGTACAAAATGGGCGCTGCTGAAGGGTTAAACCCCTTCGTACAGATAGCAAAAAAAATGTGTTCGGACTAGGGCGCTATTATATTCAGAAATACGACGCACCACTTTTGGGGGCCAGAAAATTAATTATCTTCAGGTTATATTTTTTCCCTATGGTGTTTTTTAGAAAGTGAAGCAACTTTTTAAGATTTTCTTCCGAGTTGTCCCAGGTCAGGCGTCTCAGAGCAATTCTACAAAAATGGAAATTCGAATGTGTGTGTTTGTATATGTGCGTGTGTGCACCCTTTGAGCGTCCACTTGCATGTATAGACACAGATAAATGTACGCGTCTTATGTTTGTCCCTTTTGGAAATAACCGCTTTGTGCCCATTCGTTGATAAGGGTGAAATGAACTAACCGGGTGTAGGCCTCGTTCCACCGGTTCTTTCTAAAAAGCTCCCATGGCGTTAGGATGATTCCCTGGGAAGGATGCACAGAGTGAGCGAAGGCGGCAGTCCAGCATGTTGTTCCTAAACCGTGGTTGCATATTTGGGTATCCCATGACGATCGTGTAGTTACCCACGTAGACCTACACAATACATGTGAACGCCGTTACCATGTTGGATAGGGCCTCCAGGAGAAAAATGCCATTTTTGTCATTCCTGAGAATCATACCGATGTGATCATACTCGCCCCTCGTTATGATCCTCTGCAGCTTCGCAGAAGCCACGTTTGACCTGTTCGTTCGAAAAAAGAAGGAAGGATGGATGAAAGGAAGGAACGATGAAAGAAAGTGATACACACCAGCTGAGTCTGTGGTTTAATTAAAATTTTGCGCAAAATGGAGGGTGGAGGGATAAAACCGCACAAGAGGCATCAGCCATGCACTTCGCTTCGCATCTTTGTTACTTCCCCCCAGATGATCACCTGAATAAGACTATATCGCCCGTGTCCGCAATCGACTCGAATACATCAACCGATATTCTGTCGATTTTCCAAAAGTTACTTTCCGAAAAGATAAAATTCGGTTGACTTATAATTTTATTGCTCGTCATGGAGCTGTTTAGCAAGTTGTACCACTCGTATATTTCCGCGTCTTCACCCTGCGGGGAAAATGGCGTTACCGGCGTTGAAGATGAAAAAGGGGCGCATATACAGGTAGATCTCCGCAGAGGGGGGTCCCATCTTTTGTTTATTAGCTATTCCTTTTTTGTATTGAAGCTTACCCTTAAATAAAACCTGAGGTCTGTATTCCGGGGGGTTAGAATTAGGAGCGACTCCTTTTTGTTGTCGTTGTTGTATATCCTCGATTCAATGCAGTCTTTGAGTGGAAAAAAAAAAAAATAAATAAAAAAAATGAAGGTGCGGCGTAAAATCGCTTAGGTGGATATACAGAGGTACATTCATGCGTGCGTGCTATTATAAGACGTTCCTAGTGTGACATTATCTTTTCAGGAGAATCCTCCCCCGTATGCGCGCTTTCTCTAGCGTTACACAGAAAGCAGTCTTCGCCACTTCGTTTCCGCTTTATCCCATGTTCGTACTGCACAGTTGGGGAAAAAAAGAAAATATACATCATTATGGGTAAGCCTCCCTCTCTGCGGGAGGTTTTCCTCATTTTTGGTGAAGCGGTGCAACCACATTTGGTCCATTTTGTGAGTATCTTCTGGACTATCTCCTCTGCATGCAGTGTTTTCCTTAATTCATTTCTTCACATTTAACTCCCTTATTTCAGGCACAAAGTGTGCGATACGTCCACAGGTTTAGGAGCGCACACGGAAGAAATATTTCTCGTTTACGTTAATGTCCATGTGGATCAGCTCTAGATCGAGGACGCCCGACGGCCTCAAGCTTTCTTTGCTTTTGAAGTAATATAACTTTTTGTTTTTCAGAAGAAACCACCTTCTGGAGTATCCGCACCAGGAAGTTGAACACCTCTTTTCTAGGTACCCCTCTTTGTGGTACTGCAGGCGGGGTGAGCGGTCAGTCGAAGATCAGCGGTCAGTCAGAGGTTAGTGCTGCCTTATGGGCAACATACAGACGTAGGTACACATCCATCGGTACGTTCGTGTGTGCCCGCTTCCGTTACCGGTGAGAAATTGTGGCAGGTGGAGAAGAAGACAAAGTCGTCGGAAAAGTCAAGATATTCCTGCACGAGGAGGGAAATTCTTAATTATATGGGAAACTCGGCAAAAGTCATAACAGAGAGGGGGAAAAAAACGCTTCGATGAATAATTAAGGAACACACGCCACTGAATCACCTGCTTATTTTCATCATTTTGCATGACATGGTTGCATCCATCTTTCGCCGTTGTTTCCATGAATTGCTCAATGTTCCAAGTGGTGGGAAAAAATGCGGGGGGACGGGGGCGTAATATTCATGAGAAATCAACAAGCTTGACAATTCCTAATTAGCAATTTGTTATTATCAGAATGATAACGTGAAAGGGGGAAACCCTCCTTTGCATTTCTGTATTTTTACAAAAAGACCGAACAATGGGAAAAAAAAAAAGAAAAAAAGAAATAAATAGCTAAATAACTAAATAAATAGAAATCATGTTATTCTTCACTCCCCCCTTCGCTTCCGCTTAAAGAGCCACGTGTTGGTTCACTCGCAAATGTTGACAGAAATTTTCTGTTTTTAAAAATGTGGGCATTTCCGTCTGAGTCAATTTTGTAGAGGTGTATAACTGGGGTGAACTCCAAGTCGTGCACAATCACGGTTTGTCCGATTGTTGTGTATCAATTATGGGGAAATTTTGGAGAGGGAAAAAAATTCTCCGCGGTTAGCAAAAATTAAGTGCAGGAAAGTCTGCAATTGGGGAGAAAATAAAATTGCGCCTGTTCCATAACACATTGCACGTTGTGAACTCAGCGAAGATACGTATATGTCTACTCATAACAACGCGGAGTGGTCACTACGCTGTGTTGGCAACTTCCCCCTTTTCCCCATGTGCGTGCAAACGGTTGGCGCGAATTGTGCAAGCGCTTTGCGTGAATTGTCCGCGCTCCAAGTTAACCAAAAAATGTTATTAAATGGTGCTAGATGTTGTTAAATGTTGTTAAATGCTGTTAAATGTTATTAAATGCCATTTTAAAAAGGAAGAGGAAACACAATAAGACGAAAAGGTGACGAACAAAAAAAAAAAAAAAAAAGAGGAAAAAGG